TTACATTTTTACAGACTTTGTATGCCTTAATTAACCTCGCTGGCTCTTTAAAACTCGGCCTCACCCTTACCCTGAAGTCACAATGTGGCTGCATAACTTATGTAAGAAATCGGAGGATGTGTCACAACAGTGAGTGACAAAAAAGGGCAGACAAACTCATTCCCCAAGCCAAAAACAGCGACGAAAAGGGTCTCAGCGCCTCCTCTGGTGGGAAAACTGAGCCCCAGGCGCCCAACCCAGCCCCCATGATGCCCTATCTGCCTAGACTCTGTGCTGAACCTGGTTCACTCAGCCCCGAGGCTGAAACTGCAGCCGCTGGCCAGGTGTTGCCCAGGCCCTTCCTCGCCCACCCGGTCTCAGACCCATTCGGCCGAACCCCAGCCTCCAGGTCATGGCTCCTACTTGTCTCCAGCGTCTTCAGGAGCCTAAGCTGGCACTTCTGGTTGCTGGTGAAGAAGCTGGAGAAGAACCCTTGCTGGGGATTCCCCTGGGCCACACGCTCGGGGAAGACCTGGCAAGAGACGTGTTGCTGCTGCAGCTGCTCCCATGCCGCGGGGCCCCTCCCGCGCTCGTACGGAGCTCCCGCCATGCTGCCCGCAGACCTCGCCGCTGCTTCTCTCCGGCTCGGGCGGCCGGAGCGAGACCGGGAAAGGTAACCTCCCTCCCGCCAACCCGACCGCCCAGGCCCTCCCTCCGCAGGGAAGAAGGGCAGCCAGGCTGGGCTGAAGACGTTAGGCGGGAGGGAGCTTTGAACCAGACCGGGAGCACGGGGCACAGGGCGAGTGGCGGCTTTGAACCAGACCGGGAGCACGGGGCACAGGGGCGAGGGGCGGGGAAAGGGGGTGGGGAGAGGGGCGGGGAGAGGGGCGCGGGGCCAGATGCTGTTGGGCGGAGCTGGGTCTTGCGACTTCCCTCAAAGGCAACACCTGGGCTGCCGAGGACTTCGCTGCTGCCCACCCAGTGTGGGTGACAGGCCTTTACAGGCGTTGTTCTGCCGCTTCCTGCTGCCTGCTGAGCTGCTAAGGGTGTCCCGCCTTCTCGCAGACACTCCTTCCTCACCTCGGGGCAAATATTGGCCACTAAGTGCTCTTGTGCCGCCGAAGGTCTCGGCCATCCTGCCACTCCCGGCCTTCTTCAGGGACAGGCTAGTTGTCATCGCTGGCCCGCCACTTTCCCGACCCCTGCCATCCCTCAGATCCACTCAGCCCAAGGATGCCTCAGGCCATGTTGAAAGCAGTATTTTTCAGAAACATTTTTAAACTATAGTGACGAGTCACATCAAAATCCTCAAAATGTAGGATCAACGACATTTTTCTTCCCATCTGTACCCATTCACTTATCCTACTCTTCTGCACTCCCCCCGACCAATAACTCCCTGATAACAAAGCGCACCGTGTTTACTTCTACCTCTCAGCCTTAACTCACATTGTTATTTCCATCTTTAAGCTCCTTGCCTCCGCCCCTATTATTGGGGCCCAGGTCAAATCTGCCTACTCCACAGGGCATTCCCAGATACCTTAATCAAAATTAATGTCTCCTGATCTCCCAATGTACAAAGTACTTTATACCTGTTAATCATTTTCATCGTGGCCTGCCAGGTTTTATCCAATTTGTGTTTCTCTTTTCCTACTAAATTATTCCACTCAGCTCACACATTTATTCAGCACCTACTAATGGGTCAGGCAAGGTGTTAAGAGACTGAGGAAACAGATGACTAAGAAAATTGCTAAAGATGAAAAGCAGCATGTGGTTTATGTAAGAAACATATCTGAATAATATAGGCTCACCAGGCCTTTACGGTTATGAACAGTGCTTTATGTGTCATATATGCTCAATAAATATCTAAACTGGGTGGGATGCTAGTATAGTCATTCATTTGGAATATTATAAAAATACAAACACCTCCTATGTACATAGACTGCTAAAGCCAGAAGTCAAAAACAAAGTAACTACTTTTTAATTAAACTCACCTTGGATACATTATTTCTAATCCTCACTACAACCCTGCAAAGTATTATCTCTAATTTGCAGATAAAGAAAGTGGGCTCAGCAAAATTCAATAATTTATCTAGGACCACACAACTAGCTTTCAATCCAGTTATAGAACTAAAACATACACATATGGAAAACTAAGCCATTACAATTCAGTGTGATTAGTGTGGAATACTGAAGGAAGGCTAGATATGCCTAGAAATGGACCATAGCCTACACACATTTGAAATACTATTTGGATTTTTTTTCATGGTTTCTTTTTTTATACATAGATTCAGGTGGTTTATGTGTAGGTTTATTATTCAGATATATTATGTAGTGGTGAGGTCTGGACTTCTAGTGTACCTATCACCCAGTCAACATTGTAACCAATAGTTAATTTTTCAACCCTCACCCTTTCCCTCCCACTCTCCCCACTTTTGGAATCCCCAGTGTCTATTATTCCCCTCTGTATGTCCACGTGCACCCAATCTTTAGCTTCCACTTATAAGTGAGAACATGTGGTATTTGATTTTCTGCTTCTGAGTTATTTCACTTAGGATAATGGCCCCCAGCTCCATCCATGTTGCTGCAAAATACATTTCATTATTTTTATGGCTGCATAGTATTCCACGGTGTATGCATACCACATTTTATTTAACCATCTGTTGGTGGACACTTAGGTTGATGGTTGGTTCTATGTCTTTGTCTTTTTGTCATATAATTTCTTTTTTTTTTTTTTTCTTTTTCAGAGACAGGTTCTTGCTCTGTCACCCAGGCTGGTGTGCAGTGGTGTAATCATAGCTCACCACAGCCTTGAACTCTTGGGCTCAAGCAACCCTACCACTTCAGTCTCTCGAGTAGCTAGAACCACTGGCATGCACCATCATGTCTGGTTAACTTTTTAATTTTTTGCAGAGATGGAGGTTTTTTGCTATATTGCTCAGGCTGGTCTCAAACTCCTGTCATCAAGTGATCCTCCTGCCTCAGCCTCCCAAAGCTCTAGGATTACAAGCACGAGCCACCACACCCAGTGACAATTTGTTTTCCCTTGGGTAGTCAGTAGTGAGATTGCTGGGTGGGTCAAATGGTAGTTCTATTTTTAGTTGAGAAATTTCCATACGAGTTTCCACAGAGGTTGTACTAATTTACATTCCCACCAACAGTGTATAAGCAATCCCTTTTTTCTGAATTCTCATCAATATCAGGTTTTTTTGACTTTTTAATAATAGTCATTCCGACTGGTGCGAGATGGTATCTCACCGTGGTTTTAATCTGCATTTCTCTGATGATTAGTGATGCTGAGAATTTTATCATGTTTATTAACCACTTGTATGTCTTCTTTTGAGAAATGTCTATTCCTGTCCTTTGCCTACTTTTGAATAGGATTATTTGGTTTTTTTCTGGTTGAGTTCCTTGTAGATTCTGGATATTAGTCCTTTGTTGAATGCATAGTTTGTAAATATGTTCTTCCATTCTGTAGGTTATTTGCTTATTTATTTATCTTACTATGCAGAAGCTTTTTAGCACAATGAAACTCATTTGTCTGTTTTTGTTTTTGTTGCATTTGCTTTTGAAGACTTGCTCATAAATTCTTTGCCTAGGTCAGTGTCCACAAGACTTTTTCCTAGGTTTTCTTCTAGGGTTTTTATTGTTTCAGGTCTTAAATTTAACTCTAATCCATTTTGAGTTAAGTTTGGTATATGGTGAAAGAAAGCGGTCCAATTTCTTCCTCTGCATGTCTATCCACTTTGTCTAGCACCATTTATTAAACAGAGTGTCTTTTTCTCATTATTTATTTTTGTTGTCATTGTCTAAGATCAGTTGGTTGTAGGTATGTGGCTTTATTTCTGGATACTATTGGCAACACCCTTCAGCTACAGGAATAAGTAAAAAAGTACAAACCAAAAGCTGCAACATTTCCTTACTAAATCAGCTAACACTCTTTCAATACTGATTGTTGAAGAAACAGAGGGAAAAAAATCATATCACAGTATCAATGGCGGTCTAGGTATTGGAATTTTCTTGTTACATTCTTCTGAAATTTTCTAATGTTCCTCAATAAGCATATATTACCTTTATAATCAGAAAAATCAACTTTAAAAAATAAAGTGGGCTTTGGATGTCATGTGTAACTTCATCTGTATACAGTATAAAGTATGGAATAAAAAGGCATTAAGGAAGAGATAATGAAGTGCAAATACAAATGAGTTTTAAAAAGAAAAAGAATTACCACAAAGAAATTAGAGCAAGGGCAAAGATTTAGCTATAAGGATTTTCATTTCTCCATTGTAGCACTAATTGAGAGCAAAAATGGCCAGGCCAGTGGCATGTAATCATAGCTATTTGGGAGGCTGAGGCAGGAGGACTGCCTGAGCCCAGAAGTTCAAGACCAGCCTGTGTGATACAGCAAGACACCTCCTCCTCAAAAAAAAAAAAAAAAAAAAAAAGTGGGGGAAGACATCAATTGTTTAAATATCCAACAAGAGGTATAATGGAACATATATGACCATGTTAAGTGTCTCTTTTAAACAAAATATGTTCATTAAAATTTTTTGGGTTTTTTGGAGCCGGAGTCTTGCTCTGTTGCCCAGGCTGGAGTGCAGTGGCACCATCCCGGCTCACTGCAACCTCCGCCTCCCAGGTTCAAGTGATTCTCCTGCCTCAGTGAGCTGGGATTGTGCCACTGCACTCCAGCCTGGGCGACAGAGCGAGACAGCAGCTCGGGAAAAAAAAAAAAAAAAAATTTCAGGCCGGGCACAGGTGGCTCATGCCTGTAATCCCAGCACTTTGGGAGACTGAGGCGGGCAGATCACTTGGGATCAGGAGTTTGAGACTAGCCTGACCAACATGGTGAAACCTCATCTCTACTAAAAATAGAAAAATTAGCTGAGTGTGGTGGCACCGCCTATAATCCCAGCTACTCAGGAGAGTGAGGCAGGAGAATTGCTTGAGCCCAGGAGGCGGAGAGGCTGCTGTAAGCCAAGATCAGGCCACTACACTCCAGCCTGGGCAACACAGTGAAACTTTGTCTGGAAAAAAAAAAAGTTTTTTAAGTTCCAAAGTAGCATATACAGTATGATTCCATTTTGAATTTGTACTTACTATAATTCATAGAAAGGGTCTGGAAGATTCCTACAAAGTATTCACACTGGTTGTCTTTAAATGGGTAGGATTTGGAGGTTTTGTGTTTTGGGGGTTTTTTCAGCCTTCATTTTCTAAAGCAAAAATAATTGCTTTTTCATGGGAACTAAATTATTTACAATTTTATAAATCTATCACAGTAAAAAATAAATTACATATAATTGTAAAGAGTTTACTACCTTTCAGCTGTGAAAGTTGATCATATAAATCGGGCCATTTTTGTCATACCTATTAAAAAGTGGAGAGGCCAGAGGGAGAAAACATTCAGGTCACAAATATCACTTGAAAAATATAATTCTCTACAGGCCTGGCTGCTGAAACTGCCTGCTAACACTTAAAACCAATTTAATCTAAAGGCTACTAAGACAGCCTGCTACAATTCTAAGATGAATTTTACCCACCACTGTCACTCAGCAATCAAAATTTGCCAACCCCACCAAAACATTTTAAAAACTAACGTCCAATTCATCTATCAACGACCAACAATAAATTCCCTGAGAGTAAAGCCTTTGCTTAGCTTTCCAGTCCCGTTAAACGGCGAAAAGAACAAAAGGGTCCCCAGGACCCTGCCCAACGATACGCCACATTCTGTCTACCAAAGCCACCCAGCCAGAACACGCCAGGTGACTGGCAGGCAGATACTTCCGGAAGAAGTCGGTCCTCCGAACCTGGAAGTGAAGCAGAAGACGCACAGTATTCTGGGAGGAGTTAGGGAGGCGGGATTGTCGTTGCTGGCTGTTACCAGGACAACCGGAGGCGATTGACCGTTATCTGCGGTTTGCAGCCGTTAGCGGGAGAGGCAGAGAAGTTCAGAGGTCTTTTAGGATGTGCTAAAGGGTCGTGAGGGCTCTCTTAAGATTTTCCTCACAATAGGTTATCCAGTCGTGCCCCTTGGCCCAGCCGCTGGCCCCGGGGATCTGAGTCGCACCCTCTTGTTTTTCTCTGAGTCTGTCTTAAGGTGAAATGAAGTGTGGCCCAGTGGCTCCTCATTGTCGCTTCTCTAGTTTTCTGCCTCCTTTTAGAAAATGTAAGTTGAGAATTTCTAATTTACATCGAGATGTGTTCTAATGCGCTTGTTTTTAAAATTGTGGAAAACTTTGTAAAAGAAAATAAATCTCACCAGTCATCAGAAGTAACAAAATTTTCATGCATTACCTATTAATTTTTTTCTGCATATTTTTTCATAGTTGAGATAATTTAGGGAAACCATTTTGTGTCCTGCATATATGAGCGAATACAATATAATTTTGGTGTCAATATCATAGCAACAAAGAAGGCATTGAAGACTTTAAATCTGTTTACAGTGAATTGAGAAGACAGGATGAAGTGGACACAGCATGTGAAGACAATTCTTTCAAGAAGTTTGGCTGTCAAGGAAAATAGAGAATGTGAGTAGCCGAAGGAGAATGACAGGCGAAAGAAAGAAATTGGGAGCCAGACAATACAGCCGGACAGTTTACACCTGTATTGATGTCCCACCTTTTTCACAAAAGATTGAGTATGCTTGGGGAAAAACTACACACTATCATAGGAGAAAATGATTGGAAGAGAAACTGAGACAAAGGTAAATTGTAAACAAAATAAAGCCAGGAGTATGTTAATACCCCAAAACTTCATACCAAAAGGTCCATGTAATTACTAGAGGGGTGCCACAGATTGGGCTCTGAGGTTCCTAGCAACTAAACCAAAGGGAAAATATAGTTATAACTTTCACATGATCCATATGGGGGGATCTAATGGCATATTATAGAATCCTGTTACACATTAGCTGTATGAAATTGATTGGGTAATGTGAGCTCTTTAGACCTCTTTTCTCCATCTCTTAAAGAGTGGGGAGAGGAAGAGGAAGACCGTTAGACGAGTTGATCTTTTAATATCTCTTCCACCACTGACAGTCTATGATCACACAGGCCAGAGATGGCAAACTCAAATGCCTAAATTAGGGACTAAGAAAGTTTCATAAGTGAGGAAATGGACTGAATGTGACAAAAGCAAGGAGTGATAGAGATTAGAATGGTAGACTTGATTGAGCTGTCCCATCTAAAACTCCAGCCAGTTCTTGCAAGAATAAGGATTCAGTGTTGCCAGATATTCTGATTTTTCAGGAGAAACAGAAAAATCATATTTGCAATAATATTATACAAAACAAAACACCTCTACTGGCTAGATACAATTCATGAGTCACTAATTTTCAACCTCTGCTATAGGTGAAAGGACCTCAACAAGAGGGATAATTGTTTGAATTAAAGAATTAAGTATGAAAAAAGAAGAAGAAGTCAAAAAGAATACCAAGATTTCCCCTTGGTAATAAGGAGGAGGTACTAACATTGTACTAAAATCAGCAGAAGGTTTGGGGAGAGAAGGTGCTTGATTGTGAGTTTCTTGAACATGGGGCAAACTTATTCATATGTATCCATAGCACATGAATCCAGTTCAGCTGTTGGGTTTGAGAAATCTGTGGGATTTATCAGGGAAAAGGGTGCAGGAATGTAGGTCAGGAGTCTGGGGAAAGAAGATGAAAAAGGAGTTTAAGATGTAAGATTCATTCTTTCAATAAAGTTTTATTAATTATATATCACAATATGTATTTTCATGAGACTCTAAACTGTCTGAGGGCAGAAACCACGGTTTTTTTTAACCACTTACCCAGCCCCTAGCACAATACAGAGTCAGTGCTTATGTATGTTGAATAAACAAATGAAAAAATACAAAACACAGTGCTTTACAGTATAGGAGATGCAGAGTTGAATTAGAAAATCTTAAGGGAACAAGAAACACTGGGGTCTACTTGAGGGTGGAGGGTGGGAGCATGGAGAGGAACAGAAAAAATATGGGGTACTAGGCTTAATACATGGGTGATGAAATAATCTTTACAACAAACCTTCATGCGTACCCCCAAACCTAAAATAAAAGTTTTAAAAGAAGAAAATCTTCTTAAAGAAGTTTATAGAGCAGGGGCCCCATCTCCTTAAAAAAAAAAAAAAAGAAAAAGTGAGTTTATAGGTCAGAAAGTAAGACAAGTCTTACACATAAGCAGCTAATGCAAGTTTTAAAGTAGTGCCATTTAAAAACAAAAAAGTACCATGGGATTCAGAAGGGAAAGATCTTTTTAGAGGAAGTTAAGAAGTTAAGCTCCATCTTTCTAGATAGTGGCAAGTTAAGATTAGATCACACAGGTGTTAGGAGAGGAACTGGTCAGAAGCAGTTAAATAGAAGATGTAGGCCAGGTGCGGTGGCTCACACCTGTAATACCAGCACTTTGGGAGGCTGAGGTACATGGATCACTTGAGGTCAGGAATTCGAGACCAGCCTGGCCAACATGACAAAACTCCGTCTGTACCAAAAATACAAAAATTAGCCGAGTGTGGTGGTGCACACCTGTAATCCCAGCTACATGGGAGGCTGAGGCAAGAGAATCACTTGAGCAGGGGAAGCAGCCACTGCCCTCCAGCCTGGGGGGCAGAGTAAGACTCCATCTAAAAAAAAAAAGAAGAAGAAGAAGAAGTATACCCTTCTTTTGAAAGTAAGTATTTGAAACTGCCAAAAAGAGTGAATAGTGAAACAGTTTGAAGCCAGAACCTTGAGAATCACCCACATATAAAGCAGGTGAGGAAGAAAAACCAACAAAGTAAACAGAGAAAAAGTCATCAGAAAGCTAAGAGAAACATCAGGAGAGTGGGTTTCACAGGAACTAAGATTCCAGGTTTCAAGAAGGAAAGTTCAGTCAATATTGTCAAATCCTACAGAGACAGCAAGCCATCAAGGAGGGTAAAGGCCATTGGATTTGATGATTAAGGAAATCATTGATTACTTTAAACAACTGGCCAATGAATATAAGAAGAGGAGCTTTAAAAAGCAGTAGAATTGAGAGGCTTGTTGATTTGTTTAGGGAGGTAGGGAATGGGGTTCCTTAGGAGCAGGGGGAAAAAATAGAAGGCAAGATTAAGCTGCAAAACAGGACAAATTTATGAAGCAAGGTTTTGGAGAATCTAAGTAGTAATGAGATCAAGAAATGAAGGAAGAGTAACATCAAGAATAAGCATTATAATTCTAACAAATATTGTTCAATTACAAGTAACTTTTTAATGTCTATCATCATGTTTTCCTGCCCAGTGGCCTGGTTTCTTTTCACCTTTAGCCCTAAAATAAATTCATAATCTAAAAAATAGTATTAGAACTTCAACTTAGTAATATTTCCTAATGTTGCTTTTAAATCCTCTTTTTCTAAACAGGTATTATCAGCAGGGCATGGTGGCTCACACCTGTAATCCCAGCACTTTGGGAGGCCAAGGCAGGCAGATCAGCTTAGGTCAGGAGTTCAAGACCAGCCTGGCCAACATGGTAAAACCCTGTCTCTACTAAAAATACAAAAATTAGCTGAGTGTGATGATGGGCGCCTGTAATCTCAGCTACTTGGGAGGCTGAGGCAGGAGAATTGCTTGAACCCAGGAGGCAGAGGTTGCAGTAAGCCAAGATCGCACCTCTGTACTCCAGCCTGAGCGACAGAGCGAGACTCCATCTAATAAATAAATAAATAGGAATTATGATGTATAATAAATAAATAAATAGGTATTATGGTGTATAATTCCTGATTTTTTGGTTGCTCCATGTCCCTTTCAGGAAACCACCACTCACCAGCCTTAACTGGTTCAAGTGGGACTGATTCCCAACTACCCACCCTGCCCCCATTCCTACACTTGATTCAGACCTGACCAATGAGAACCATCATTGGTACTTTTGCTGGCACTATTTATTTAATTTTTGTTTTGTTTTGTTTTGTTTTGTTTTGTTTGAGACGGAGTTTCGCTCTTGTTGCCGAGGTTGGAGTGCAATGGCGCAATCTCAGCTCACCGCAATCTCAGGTCACCGCAACCTCCGCCTCCCAGGTTCAAGTGATTCTCCTGCCTCAGCCTCCCAAGTAGCTGAGATTATAGGCATGTGCCACCACACCCAGCTAATTTTTTATTTTTAGTAAAGACAGGGTTAATCCATGTTGGTCAGGCTGGTCTGGAACTCCCGACCTCAGGTGATCCACCCACCTCAGCCTCCCAAAGTGCTGGGATTACAGGCGTGAGCCACCGCACCCAGCCCGCTGACACTTTTTAAAAAAAAAGCTTCTTTCCCTCTGATGTTATACTGCAGGTGCTAAAGACCATACAGACACAGAGCAGACAGGCCACCTTTGCTACCACATGGAGGTTTGTCTAATATTGAGGCTAAAGAAGCTGAGCTGGAAGACAGAGAGACCAAATCCTGATGACATTGTTTGAACCCAGAGATCCGGACATGCCTGAAAATTAGTTTTACCACTGGACTTATCTGTTAAATGAGCCAATAAACTCTCTTTTATACTTAACCTTGGGTTTTACCTGGATTTTTGTCATTTACAGCTCAAAGGATTCTAATATAGAAGTATACATCATTAAATCAACATTATTTCTTTTTTTCTCTGTCTTATTTTAAATGTAACTCTGTAATGTACTCTAAAAGCATTCTACAGTCTCACTAAGTTAATCCACAAATTTGGTAAAATTCCAATATTAATCCCAAAAGTATTTTAAGAGCCTGTTTTTGTTGTTTGTTTGCTTGTTTGGGACTAAACAGAATTACTCCAAAATTCATTGAGAGAAAACATGAAAAAAAAAAACAAGAAAATAGAATTCATAAAGGGGAATTGTATTATAATAAAGTGTAAAACAAGAATAATAAAACATAGCATGGTAATGGAATAAACAAACAGTCGTGGAACAGAATTCAAAGCCTGAATATATCTAAGAGCACTTACCAAATTTAATATGTGGTAAATCAAAAAAAGATGAATCCAGTGAAGTATATAAGTACATTGAACTAGATTTAGAGGAGAAAGATAATTAGATCTTTACCTTATTCCCAGAATAAATTTCACATGGATTTGTGACTTAAGTGTAAAAACTGAAGCCAGATTCTCAATATATGTTGATTGGCATATAATTGGCACAATCTTTAGCAATATCAATTAAATATTAATAACTTTCAATACAGCCTTTCAATTCTAGAAATATATCCTACGGAAACAAAATATATGCATAAATATGGCTGATGCAGTATTGGAATATCAAAAGTACTATACTTATGAAATAGGATATGAATACCTATATCATGCATTCACAGAGGGGCAATATTGCAACCAGGAGGTGAAAATTGATTTTTGAGGGAAATTTTTTTTTCTAAATCATAGATATGTGTAAAGCATATAAACAGATATATAGTATATATGTGGTATTAAAACTTCATGGGACAGTAATAATTAAGAAAAAATGTCTATGCTGGGTGCAGTGGCTCACACCTGTAATCCCAACACTTTGAAAGGCCGAGGTGGGTGGATCATGAGGTCACGAGTTCAAGACCAGCCTGGCCAAGATGGTGAAACCCCATCTGTACTAAAAATACAAAAATTAGCCGGGCATGCTGGCAGGCAGCTGTAATCCCAGCTACTCAAGAGGCTAAGGCAGGAGAATCACTTGAACCTGGGAGGTGGAGGTTGCAGTGAGCCAAGATCATGCCATTGCACTCCAGCCTGAGCAACAAAGTGAGACTCCATCTCAAAAAAGAAAAAAGAAAAAAAATCTAAAAGGCTGAGAAAAACTGTCGTATACAATTTGATACCATGTTAAAAAGAATGAGGTAGACTTGTATGTTGACAAAAGAGGATGCCCCAAGATGCACTGTTTTTAAAAAACAAGTTGTAAAATAATATGCATAATAGGATTCCTTTTTTAATGATTAATATATGTTGATACAAACAAAAAAGTATTGATGGTGTTTTTCTTTGGGGTTAAAATTAATGTTTAATTCTATATTAAGTAGAGGGGTCCAGCCAGAGGAGGGTCAGAACAGGGGCCCCTACCTTGGTGTAAGTACTACAATATAATTCCCACAGTCTGAGTTTTGCAGATCGCATCCCCAAGGTGTCATTAAATAAGGTTTTTTTTTATTCCCTCTATTTCCTGTAAATTGATGTTTAGATCTAGGAGCTTGATCAGATTCAGATTCAAAAATCTGGGTAGTATTTCATAAGTGACTTTGTGTGCACCCATCAGGAGGCACATAAAATCTATCACTTTTTAATTGAGTTATAATTAAAATACACAGATAGTAACAGCTCAATTTGTTTTCACAATTGCGTGCACCCATGTAGCTTCCTCCAAAAACAAGACACAGAATATTTCCTTCATTCTGGAAAGTTCTCTCATGGGTCTTTATAGTCAGTTCCTGTCCAGCCCCAGAGCCAACTATTTTCTCATTTCCATCACCACAGATAGTGTCTTAGTTATTTTATGCCACTATCACATAATACCCTAGACTGGGTAATTTATAAATAATAGAAACGTATTTATCACAGTTCCAAAGGCTGGGAAGCCCAAGATCAAAGCACCAGCAGATTCACTATCTGCTAAGGGCTTGTCTCTGCTTCCAAGAGTAGTGCTTTGTTGCTACAACCTCACATAGTGGAAGAGGCACTGTGTTCCCACATGGCAGAAGAGACAGAAGGACCAGGCAGCTCCCTGAAGCCTCTTTTATAAGGGCACTAATCCCATTCACAAGGGCAGAGCGCTTACCCACTTACCAAATGGCCCCACCTCTTAATAACACCACAATGGAGATTAAATTTCAACACAAATTTTGGAGAGACATAGGCATTTAAACCATAGCAGGCCAGGCACGGTGGCTTATGCCTGTAATTCCAGCACTCTGGGAGGCCAAAGAGAGTGGATCACTTGAGGTCAGGAGTTCAAGACCAGCCTGGCCAACATGAGGAAACCCCGCCTCTATAAAAATACAAAAATTAGCCAGGCATGGTGGCACACACCGTTAGTCCCAGCTACTCAGGAGGCCGAGGCACAGGAATCACTTGAACCCAGGAGGCGGAGGTTGCAGTGAGCTGAGATTGCACCCCCCTGCACTCCAGCCTGGGCAACAGAGTAAGACTCTGACTCAAAAAAAAAAAAAAAAAAACCATAGCAG